CCCTGCCCGAGACCGACGCTCCGAGCCTACCGAACTGTCTTCCCAATCCCGTCTTCTTCGGGGGTACAACAGGCGTTGCGTCCTTGGGTGGTACCGCAGGTGCCGGTCGCAGCGGCTCCTTCTGCGCAATGCGTAGCTCACTAAAGTTCGGTCCGTCGTCGAGGCTACTTCCGTCCATCATCCTTTGTGCCCGCCTCGCTCTGTCTTGTACGCTTCTGAACTTCTCAAGAAGCTGGTCCCATCGAATCGTGCCGTCTTCGCGGCCCTTGCCCAATCTGTTCGGCCGATCATAGCTAGAAGTACTAGGTGTAGTGGCAGGACTAACAGACGAAGAAGCATGAGTGTCATGAATGCTTTTAGAACGAGGGGTGTGGCCTTGAAGAGTAGAGACAGTCTCGGCTACAGAACTTGGCCTGCTAAGAGGGGGAGGGAAAGGGGGAGGGGTAAAGGTAGGGGGAACAGTGGAAGGAAGCACATACGGTCTGGGCCCGATATGCAGGTAGCCTATCGAGCTTACACTATTCAACCTATTCTTCAAAGCAGCGAAAGCAGAGGATTGCGGCAAAAGCATCAATAGTCCGTACAGACACTTGTAGAGGTACGGGTACTTCTCAGGTTCAAGCAACTGAAGTCGAAGATCTAGAGATCCGAAGCGTTAACATGTCTAGACCAACATACGGGTGTAAGTAGAAGACTTACACGTAAAAACCGGCGACTCAATCAGTTGAACAAGCTTATCTATCTGGATGAGAATGTTGACCGTCATCTCAAGTTCGGCACTGTATCTGTTAGTAATACGTTGCTTGCCCCATGTGTAGAGCTAGATACTCACAAGATCTGTAAGAGATTGTATGCCGCCTCGTATGCTTGCGCGAGCAGACACAGAGAGAAAGTGGCAACCGCATTATAGCACCAGGAGCGGAACAGAGCGACGAAAAAGATTTGGCCATCCTACAAAGTAGTGAGCGGAGGCACATTTATGAGTTACTTTGCAACCAAATGACATTACCTTCGTCTCTAGGTTCCGTAAACGCTTCCTTAAGTCGGCTAGCTCCGGTGCCGTGATAAGATTATTGTTGAGATTCTGCACCATGATACTAGCAAACTCGACGTCCTCTTCCTTCTCAATGGTTTCCGCTAGAGTACGATATATCCTCTCGGGGCTTAAAGTCATGCATAATTGGCGTATGATCAAATTTCCTCGCGTCTCCAACAACTTTCTGTCAGTAGAAAATAGTTGTAAGAGGCTGACCATAAAGTTAGAGAAGTAGTCATCTTCGCTATTCCTTGATATCTGGGATAGTAACTGCAAATCTTTGGTGACAACAGCTTCAGCCGGGTCCGAAAGTGTCTTGAGAAGGGCAGGAAAGGTCCCGTCGTTGAACGCGACAATTTTCCTAGGCGCTTTGCGATGCAACATGATGAGCCAGGTTAGTGCGGCGACGCGAGTTGCTTCGTGATCATTCAAGAATAGCAAGGTGAGAGAATTCACTGCTGCGGCATAATCTAAATCTGGTTGAGGGGGGATAGACTGTGCTGGAGTGGGCGCTCGGCGACTCTGAGCTGGCGTGGGACTACGCAATTCTAAATCACGGCCACTTGACAACGAGGCGCGTGCGCTAGACGCTCCTTCGGCACGGTCTCCAGCTGCAGGCCCAGGATGTCGCAACGATGGCTGACTCGGGGGTCCTTCAGATTCGTCTGTCAAAGAAACGACGTAATCCATCAGCGAACTATTCACCCTCGCTGCAGCTTGACGAATTGGTTCGACCCCGCTAGCCATTGCTGGAAGCAGATGAGCTAAGACTTTAGGAGTAAAAGGTAGCACTTCCTCGGGACATATGTCCAGAAACGACACTATCCAACGCAAACTTTCTAGGAGGCTATCTTCCTCTACACAATATTAGAATTTTGCAATAGACCCATCTAGCAAAGAGCGCTTACCTAGAGGAGAATCGAGGGTAGCGGTCAATATCTCGAGGATTTCCTTATAGTTGATCGGGACGTCCTGTCCCGGTATCCAATCATCTTCACTGCTGACTTCGTCGTCATCCTCGTTAGCCGTAGTGGATCCTCCTACTTCCTCGGCGTCGTCCGGCGCCAGACGCATACTACCGCTGTCGACGGAGTCCTCCCGCTTTCTCTTGCCCTCTCCCCTCGATTTTCTACTCTCGGCAATTCCCTTCTTAACCCGAGCGATCCGTTTAATCTCGTTCAAGAACTTATCTAAACATGCTTGGGTGGCAGCATGGACATCAGCATTGTTGCCACTAAGGAACTTCAATAAACCTGCCATGAACTCGGGCAGGTACGTAACAAGTTCCAAGTCTGGAATCGAATCAAGTAGGGTAATCCAGCCGACAAGGAACGTCCTAGTGAACGGGTTCATGACCCAAATTCGCTCCTTGAGGAGAGGTATGAACCTGGGGAGAGAGAATGCCGTTGGCGGGCTGGGATGCGGAGGAGTACCATTCTCGGGGTCCTTCCCGTCATCGTATGGCGGGGGCGGATCAGCCTCCAGGACGGAGATATAAGTCGCGGCGGACTCGGAGACAATGTCTTTGATCAGACGATCGAGAAGTTCGGCACCATTCTTTACGGAAAGCTCTGAGTCGGCGCCCAGCTGTGATGAAAAAGAATTGACGTTAGATCGAACAAAGGAAGAGACGGATGGTGGAGGTAGTATTAATACCTTGCACAGGGCGTCAAATATGTGATTGAAATATTTCAATATTTCGCCCTTCGCAACCTTGGCGATGTTGTACATCGACTCGCAAGCATAATAGCGCACTCTAGCATCTTGATCCGTAAAGCAAGCAAGAACCGGGGGCACTATGATTTCGAGATATTTTGGCAGTTCCTTTAGGCGGAGGTTAGATTCAAAGGGCTTCATAAGAGACGAGGAAAAAAGGCAGCATAGAGATGAGATGGCAACAAGGGGAAGGGCATACTTGACCGAGGGCAATAGCAGCGGCGGCTAAACCTATTAACCCTCCGTTCCTTGCATGTGGCTGATGTACTGCATAAGCATATTCGTTACACAACTGCTCGATGATGTCCGTAACCCTCTTGTAGTCCTTGGCGGTTACTAGTTCTCGAATAGAGCGTTCAAGCCTAGATGAGTTTGTTAGATCAGTATTCTACGATCTATACCTCAGGTATGAAAATAGCTATCGAAAGAGCATACTCAAGAGCACCTGTCTTCCTCTTATCGTAGAGCTTGTCATTGAGAAGCCGCTGGACGTTGGGTTCCATGACTGCGTCCTTCGGATACTAATTCGCTTTCGCAAACAATGGGGTCATGCTGGCTGGAATAAAAATAGAGTAGTTTATCCACAGCGCTCAGGAGAAATAGCCGGCTAGGTAGGTATCTAACTACGGACTCGAGCCGTTGGATGGACGAACCAGTACCTAAGTAAAAACGATAGTCACGCCACAAATTGTGTTAGATGTGTCAAATATCTGAACGAATGTTTCATTCAAACGCCAGGACCTCTTAAATAAGCTTGGTAATTTAACGACTTAAAGTTATGCGGTAGTAGGTGACGGTCTTGGTATGAGTGAGAGAGAGAGGAGAACAAGGCTGATGGGATGAAGCATCGATGATGTATGTACTTGCAGGGATTGGGGAGTTGGCGGGGCAAGCTAGCAGCTGACGGCGGGAGGCTGACGAGGCTGAAACTTACCTAGAGGCTACATAGGCTCGAGTTCTTATCGATGCTTATCATTGCTTATCGAGGTAACTGTGGCGTTCCTGCCAAGATGCACAGACCGAGGCGTCGGGACGAGCTCAGCGCCACAAGCCCTGGGTAAGGTTACGACGACGGCCGCAACGTGACTGGTCAGTTTTATGCGTATGTGGCAGGTGGACGCTAAGCGCGGTTAGCCCGGGATGTGTACAACCTGAAATCGATTTCCGTAGTTACCCAAGTACTGATCAAAACCTGCAAACTTCACAAAAGTTCAAGTCAGAATGCAAGAGACAAGCCAACAAGAGTTTCAATATCCAATTGGAATAAGCCTAGTCTAGGTATTATTCTCCACTATTTCCCGAAATGCTACGCTGCTCCATCATTAAGACGCCTTTGAACTTCCTCGCGTTTGTCGTGAGATGCCTAGGGTGAGATCGTCCGAGACAAGACAAGACTCGGGAGTCTCTTAGTCGTCCGAGAACCCTCTATCGAGTTCACTTCGACCCGGTTCAGAACACAGACAATGACGTAAACGTAGGACTCTGGTAGCATCGAAGCACCTAGACGCCCAGGGCTCTGGTGAGTATGGATTCGGAAGGGTTAGAAACAGATTGTATCTACAACATCATACGACGTGGCAGCCGGCCCGAGCACCGCAATAAGTTGCCAAACGGATAGAGTCATGGATTCCTTTTTGGGGGAATCCAAGGAAGTCAAATTTTCGTATCGGCCAGGCTGAAACGTCTGGTCTCATCGGTTGCTTTCATTATTCGCCGCCTAGGCACGTAGGCACGGTCAATCGAGAGTGGTTGGGTTCTGGCGTATACTTTAACATTTCAACCATATTGGTGATCTTTTACCGCTGCAGCTACACCGGTTTCCTATCTCCGCATACCCCAAAGACGCGTTCTCTCGCCTGCATGTGAACCATGATACGTTGTAGGTATTTAGTTCCCGCCGCTTTAAGTCGGAACTGTGCTGAGGTAGGATTACTCACATGCATACATGTAGGTAGGTAGGTAAGGCATCTTTTAGCAACGGTAAGGTTAGGTAGGTAATTGCCACAAGCCTTGTGAATATTGTTAGAGGACAATGAATCGCACCGGGCATGGACCTACTGGCACTTTGCTACATTTGTATGCATAGATATTTTACTGGATTTACTACGCTGGGTATGTAGAAGCTATCTATCTATCTCCAGGGCCATGGCCAAATATGTGCGGGTTGGTATGTATCACTCTAGCTTCGCAGCTTTATCTAGTACCAAAACAAAACAAAAGTTTCAGGATTGAAAAAATTAGAATTTTGTGCGGTGAGTGCGGATTGAACGCACGACCTTCAGATTTCAACACACATGTATTCCTGAAGTTAGACTTCAGTCTGACGCTCTCCCAACTGAGCTATCCCCGCTTGTCGACGAGAAAAATCTGCATGTTTTTCCATTAATGATCCTTTGCAATTAAGGACCGCTTTGTGGCCGGAACGGCGGGTCCATCAGAGTGGGCCTACAAGCAACAACTAGTTTCTATCATCCCGAAGTGAAGCCATCTGGGGAGGACCGGGATGGACTACTAACCGAGGTGGGTTCGAAGAGCCTCACGGTGAAGGAACGGTTTCATATCTTCAAGACGAGGATGACATCGTTGACCCTTCCTAGATCCTATAGAATATACATAGGTAATAATCCAACCCCTAAAAGGAAAAGGGTGCCAACAAGAAATTCGTCTCTAGACATGACTAGCACTACATTTCACCATGAGCTCGTTGACTTCTAGTGAAATATTTTGGTGTGTCTTGGGCTGTCCTGGTTTTTTTTTCTACGGTGGGCCGGTATAGATTTGGAGCGATATACAGGGGTTGCAAAGTGTTCGTTCCTCTGGATGACGAGGCAGAAACCCTACAGGAGTGAAGTCATTTTCAACGTACGATAGTTCGCGAGTATACTATTGAAGTCACCTGACCTAGGGGCTGGAAGGTTGACATAGAAGGTAAGCCTAAGTTCAGTAAAGGCGGCGACTTATTTTGTAGTTACATGCGGTGGGATAACCCAGAACCGGTCAGCCGGTATAAGATACCTATGTACGTCACATCCAACTCTGGATGAGACCCTGTTGGGGTACTTCGTACCTGAGTAAGCACTACAGTACAGGTAGGAAACGAGTGCGAGATGTTCATCTTAGGGGGGTGCCTCCCAACCTATCCACGTGCAGAAATCCTTTTAGAGGCCATTCAAAAGCGTGGGCAAAATTGCCAATCCATTTCCCTATAACTTTTCATAATGAAGCATTGGTTACTCTTGAGAAAGTCCGCGTCACATGGAGGATCATGTGCATTGCAGAAAGTGACGTCGACATATCCGCACTAAGAGGTACCATTTGTACGTACGTAGAACCAACTGCATCATATGACCCAAACCAAATATTCCATCTTCAACAAACCGAGATATCCCGTTGTGATCTGTCACTTTGTAGTAGATTTAGGGGCTCTAGATCTTCAGGCCCTTTATCCCGTTGCAAGGCGCTGGTGCTACTCTAGCCACTGCGTCGTCCATCGTGTCGTTTCTCTCATAGGACGACAAGGGTAGTTTTAGCCTCTTGCCTCACTTCTCCTGACCACCGTCATCTTTCTTTTGGTTAGGGTCGGTCTTCTTCTGCCCAGACACGCCTGAACCCTCGCCTTTATCTTCTTTGTGATTACGGGCAGACATGTCTGCACGCTTCGCGAAAGGGTCCTATGCGAAAAGTAAGTTAAGGGGTTGGATAGCTCGATAGGTCATGTATGTATTACATTCTTTCCGCGGGACTTAGCGATCCTCGCGGCTGACTTCTCGTCCATTTTAGTAGGACTCATTTTGGTAATATTGGAATGACTAGGATAGAGGACTGGGGGATGAAAGATGGTTGACTAAGAGCTCTGTCAAGAGTAGCTGGGAGATGAAAATCGTAGTTTCATAGTCCTAGTGAGCATAATATGAATGCAGGTGAAGTTCCAAAATGACGGGACGTCACTGATATATATAGCCTTCATTCCGTGTTAGGAAGACGTCGGCTTTACTAAAAGCATAAACCGCAGCCACGTCGTCAGCATCAGGCAGTCATTGCTTTTTCCTCCGCCGCTGAAGATATTGCGACTATGTACTACAAGACCAAAGTTTATCTCCGGATCAAGCACGCCACCGACAACAAGATATGCTCCTTTGAACACCATGCAAGGAAAGCTGCAAGAACCTGCCGTGGTACGTGCGAGGGTAGCAAACAAGAGAGCACATGGCGTCGTGCAGGACAATATGCGAGTCAAGTCTGCCAATCTTATTTAGACGTATAGAAAACCAGTTCAGAGTAGACTAGGTTCCCTGAAGTCCATCTCCTGGGCGAGTCGGTGAAGAAATGCACATCAATTTCCCTCTGAGGCATGGGGGCAACATGGATTGAAAGCTTAACCATGCTGCTAAGCAAAGGCGCATCCATGCACGACAGTGACAAGACGACCACGTATCAACTTCGGATATTCAAGGCATTCTATTCTACCATGGAGGAATAGAAGTAGAACTGATGATTGCTCTTCTGCATTGGTTGACTTTGCCCGAGTTATGATCATTATCCTTCTTGCATGCTAGGAGCTAATTTCAGAACCGAGAGAAGGCGACTAACGTAGGTAAAAGAGGTGGTTAAGGTAAACCACTAATAGCCTCCCCTTAACTCACGCTCACCACGTCTAGCTTGGATTGAGAGGCAATGGATCAATTATCAGTGTATAACGGATTAACTCAATATTTGTGGGAATTGCCGGAATCAAATCTCGTAAGGGGAAACGAGATAGACGAAAAGCCGGAGCATATGTCCTCTCGTCCGGTAGGGCATCAACGGGGTCAAGTGCTCTCGCTATGGTCATGGGAACCCGACTCTGACAAACAGACAATCCGGGGGCGGTAGAGTAGGGTGAGATGGAAGTTGGAGTGGCCCACCACACTCAATTCCCAACGAGATGTTTGACAAGTTGCAGATCAGGAGCCACTGGACTTACGCTTGACGGTCCCTGCTCGTCGTAGTATTGGCTCGCTACGGTGCGCTTTCGTCTTGGAACCCGAGATTTACCAATTTCTCATTCATCCAGAATGGTTAGACGGACCGACTATAATACTGCACCGCCAAGTTTGATGACAACGTTCTCGAAGAACCCAAACAAATATGGAGATGGTTGCATTAGGTTTCAGGAAGCCGTAAGGCAATATCTGAAAAGAGACAACCCGACGCTATCAAGAGGCAAGCGTGCTTCCCAGGCTAATATTTGCCACCAGATGGTAGGAATGATACCTATGTACATGGCCTATCAAGGCTGGGTAATATGGGAAGCACCATACTAAATATTAGTGATCATGCCCATGAAGAAGCTCATCATTCTCCGAGATGACTTTCTGACACTTGGCAAGAATGGCCGCTTGCCTCGATACCTCCGCTAGCGTACCAACAACCTGTTTATTACCGTCCACAAAGCCGTATAGTGCATACGGAATGCCCACTTCGTTACAAAAATCCTGCACCAGCTTTTGCGTACGGCGAAGATTGTGACGCGGGATTCGGGGATAGAGGTGGTGTATGACCTGAAACTGCAGACCACCGTGAAAGAAATCTAGCCATTGGGGGCAATCGATATCCATAGTCGTGCGGAGCATTTTCTGGGGGAAAGATTCGTGTGGCCCGAGATCAGACGTACTCATTGCGAAGTGAGAAAGGCAGATTTGCGCATGTACTGGCATGGTTACCATATGGCTGATCATGAAAAAGACGAATCGGTCCCAGTTGTTAGGAATTGACTTGTACATGACTCCGTAGCCAAACCAGGTCCAGAAGACGACCTGACCGGCTATTTCGAGCCACCTGTGCCACCATGCCGGGCCCTTCTGAGGACCTCTTCCCATGATAAGATAGTCCCAAGACAACCGGTAAAGATTCAGTCGTCCGACAAGCAATAGTATGTAGTACGAGTAAGCCTGGATCCTCAGGGTAAATTTCGCCACGGCATCATACTCCATTACGCGATCGTAATAGGTAGACCGCAGACTTTGGAGCAATCGATGAGACACGGCTAGAAATGGCATATGCTCAATGTCGGGGTCGTGTTCGGGTGCGTTGGTGACAACGTGATGCACGTTATGGTTCATCTTCCACCATCCCAAAGATAAGCCTCCGAAGAAGTCGGCAATTATAATACCAATGACAGTGTCTTTATGGAAGTCGTGAGTGATACCCATATGGCCGGCGTCGTGGGCTGAGAAGACAAGCTGGTGCCAGAACGCACCTAGGCATACGGCACTTGAAACGTACCAGCCCCAATGCAGGAAGAGAAAAGTGAGGCTGAAGAGGATGGAATACCGAGTAACCTCAATCGCGTATGCTCCATAGTTGCATTGATAAAGACCTTCGGCTTTGATGTGTTGGTGTAGATCACGATACTTGGCCACGATAGTATCTTGGGTCCCAAAGTCTAGAGAGGGATACTTCTCTAGGTCCAAAGTCGTCTTCTCCTTGGTGATAGTGTCTAGATATGACATGCCATCCTCGTCAGGGTCCACGGAAGATACTGACGAGGTGGATGCCGAGCTAACACCATGTCGCTTCCGTACAGTCGCTTCCGCATTATCAAAGACCGGAGAGGGATCACGGGAGCTTAGGACGCTCGAGGTTTCTGTAGAAGCTGTATCGCACGGCCCGTCGTCGTTTTCAAGGTCCTCGTCGTCTGGCAATGGTCTGAACTTACCACCCTGGATGGGGGGAATGAAATTGGTCCATCTTCCTTCGATTCTCCCAACCCTATAATGATTCATTCGTTGCCTGGCTTCGGGGGAATGGAGTCTGGTAACACGGTTATGTTAGGAGCTTGGGGGGGGGGGGGGGGGGGGGGGTTTTTAAGATAAAAGTTAAGGATAAAGGGTACCACCAACACACTAAATTCGCAAGTCGCGACACGACCACCAAGGTGAAAGATGGGATTGAACACACCCG